GGTTGTGCAGTGGTTAAGAATCTGCCTGCCAATGCAGGGGACACGGGTTCAAGCCCTGGTCTGGGAAGATCCCACATGCCATGGAGCAAATAAGCCCATGCACCACAACTACTGAGCCTGTGCTCTAGAGCCCGCAAGCCACAACTACTGAGCCTGTGCGCCACAACTACTGAAGCCCGCACACCTAGAGCCCGTGCTCCGCAACAAGAGAAGCCACCACAATGAGAAGCCCACGCACCACAACGAAGAGTAACCCCCACTCTCCACACATAGAGAAAGCCTGAGCACAACAATGCAGACCCAGCAGAGACAAAAATTTTTTTTTAAATTGTATAAAATAAAAAACCAGAAGAAAACCATTAAGAAAATAAAAGAAGCTCTTAAAAAATCAGTATAAGTAAGAATTAGAAAAATTCAGAAATGTGATAATTGGAAAAAAATAAGATTTTAAAAAGTAAGCTTACAAAACTCAGGAAAAAGAATAAACTAAAAGTTATTTCTGAAATGAAAAGTAAACTAGAATGGGGGCTTCCCTGGTGGCGCAGTGGTTAGGAATCCTCCTGTCAATGCAGGGGACATGGGTTCGATCCCTGGTCCAGGAAGATCCCACATACTGTGGAAAAACTGAGCCCGTGTGCCACAACTACTGAGCCTGCACTCTAGAGCCCACAAGCCACAACTACTGAGCCCATGCCATGACTACTGAAGCCCGCATTCCTAGAGCCCATGCTCCACAACAAGAGAAGCCACTGCAATGAGAAGCCTGTGCACCGCAATGAAGAGTAGCCCCCAGTCTCTGCAACTAGAGAAAGCCTGCACGCAGCAATGAAGACCCAATTCATCCAAAAAATAAATAAATGAATAAAAATCTAAAAAGAAAAATTTAACAGAGTCTCAGGGACCTATGGGATTCTAACAAAAGATCTAACATTCTTGTCATCATAGTCCTGGAGAAAAAGGTAAAAGAGATGAAAAAGTACTTGAATGGCTGAACACTACCCAAATTTAGCAAACCCCAAACAGGATAAAGGCAAAGAAATCCACTTCAAGACACCTCATAGTCAAACTTCTGAAACTAAAGACAAAGAGTAGAATTGCAAAAGCAGTGAGAAAGAAATGACATCTTGCCTATCAGAGAAAAACAATTTGAATGATAATAGATTTCTCCTCAGAAACTGTGGAAGCCATAAAGAAGTGGCACATTTTTTTATGTGCTGAAAGAAAATAACTGTCAAGCCAGAATCCTGGGACTTTCCTGGTGGTCCAGTGGCTAAGATGCCACTCTTCCAATGCAGGGGGCCCGGTTTTGATCCCTGGTTACGGAACTAGATCCCACATGCTGCAACTAAAAGTTCACATGCTGCAACTAAAAGAGCCCACATGATGCAATTAAAAGAGCCCGTGGGACTTCCCTGGTGGTGCAGTGGTTAAGAATCTCCCTGCCAATGCAGGGGACACGGGCTCAAGCCCTGGTCCAGGAAGATCCCACATGCCACGGAACAGCTAAGCCCATGCACCACAACTACTGAGCCTGTGCTCTAGAGCCCATGAGCCACTACTACTGAGCCCATGTGCCACAACTACTGCAGCCCGCATGCCAGAGCCCATGGTCTGCAACAAGAGAAGCCACCACAGTGAGATGCCCGCGCACCACAACGAAGAGTGGCCCCTGCTCTCCACAACTAGAGAAAGCCCGCATTCAACAGCAAAGACACAATGCAGCCCAAAATAAATAAATAAATAAATGTAAAAAAATAAGAGTTTGCATACCACAACTAAAAGAGCCCGTATGCTGCAAAGATCCTGCATGCTGCAACAAAGGTCCCGTGTGTCGCAACTAAGACCCAGCGCAGCCAAATAAGTAAATGTTTTTTTAAAAAAAGCTGTAATCCTGTATTCAGCAAAAATAACCTTCAGGAATGAAGGGGAAATCAAGATATCGATATTTTCAGATGAAGGAAAACTTAGCGAATTTGTCACCAGAAAAACTATGTTAAAAGGATGGCTAAAGAAGTTATTAAAATATAAAGGAAATGATAAAAGAAGGAATTTTAGACTATCTGGAAGGAGGAAAAAACAATGGAAAGATGAAAATATGGGGGGACTTCCTTGGTTGTCCAGTGGTTAAGATTCCATGCTCCCAATGCAGGGGGCATGGGTTCAGTCCCTGATCAGGGAACTAAGATCCTGCATGCCACACAGCACAGCCAAAAATTTTTTTTAAATGAGATTTTTAAAAATGATGAAAATATGGGTAAATATAATAGGCTTTATGGGTCTTCTTGAGTTTTCCAAGTTGTTTTTGAATAATATTGATGTGGTTCTCAAAGTATGTAGAAGACATAGTTAAGACAATTATATTATAAATGAGGGAAGATAAAGGGACTTAAGGTAGGTACACTTTCTATACTTCACTTGAACTGGTAAAATGTCAACACCAATAAACTTTGATGTGTATGTATAATGTACCTAGAATAAGGAACAAGTAATCCTTAGGAAGATAGTAAAAAAAAAAACAGAGATATGAAGGACAGAGGGAACAAAAAGAAGACAGAAAATTAAGTGGCAGATTTAAGCCCTAACATTATTGATAATTACATTAAATGTAAATGGTCTAAATACAACAATTAAAGGACAAAGATTGATGGCCTGAATTTAAAAAGTGACCCAACTATATCTTGTCACTTCAAATATAACAGTATAGGTAGGTTGAAAATAAAAGGATGGAAAAAGATATACTAGGCAAACATTAACCAAAAGAAATCAGGAGTGGCTATATTAATATCAGATAAAGTAGATCTCAGAGCAAGAAATTTGTCAAGAACAGAGAATGATATTACATAATGATAAAAGTCAATCTTAAATATGTATGCACCAATCAACAGAGTTGCAAAATATGTGAAGCAAAAACTAATAGAACTGAAAGGAGAAATAGATAAATTAATAATTACAGTTGTAGACTTCAATACGCATCTCTCAACAGGTGATAAAACAAGTAGCCATAAAGTCAGAAAAGATACAGAACTCCACAGCACCATCAACCAACAGGATCTAATCATCATTTATAGAACAATGCACCCAGCAACAGCAGAATATACATTCTTTTCAATCACCAAAAAACCCACATTTACCAAGACAGATCATATTCTGAGGATCACAAAACCTCAACAAATGTAAAAAAAATTGAAATCATACAGAGTAAGTTCTCTGACCACAATGGACTCAAAAAATCAGTAACAGAAAGATAACAGGAAAATCTCCAAACACTTGGATACTAAACAATACACTTATAAATAAAATGAGGACGTTTCAAAGAAATTTTTAAAAATACATCAAGCTCAGTGAAAATGAAATGTTCTGGCAACCCATTCCATAATCAGGCAATTACAAGAAGTAACTTTTATTAAAAGTCAAAAAAGAATTTAAAAAAATCACAGTTTATTTTTGAATTTGAATTGTTGTAAGAACATTTTATTGATTCCAGTTGCTACTGCTGCTCTTGAGCAGTTTCTTAGAATAGTCAATGGAATTGACAGGTTAGCAATTTTACTGAAAGAAGGCAAGAAAAAATTAATGAAATAAACATATAATTTATTGTATTACTTCTCTGAACATCACTGACCCATCAAGAGAATACTCAGACATGAGCAAGAGTAATAAAATTCTATCAGGTCTGATATTTTGCCAACTTTCAGTCATATAAAAACAGCTTTACACATTTTTTTTTTTTTTTTTTGCGGTACGCGGGCCTTGCGGCCTCTCCCGTTTCGGAGCACAGGCTCCGGACGCGCAGGCTCAGCAGCCATGGCTCACGGGCCCAGCCGCTCTGCGGCACGTGGGATCCTCCCGGACCGGGACACGAAACCGCGTCCCCTGCATCGGCAGGCGGACCCCCAACCACTGCGCCACCAGGGAAGCCCTTTACACATATTTTTCATTTTTATTATGAAAGTGTATTTGTGGAAATAAGAAGTGAACATATTTTATTTAACAAATTGTAACTTGATTTATATCTTTTAAATATTTAAATACACAGTATGTTTTTCATTTCTTCTCTTGCCCTGGGCCCAGCAGATGTTAGGGGGTGGGCCTGATCCTAACCTCCTTGACCCTCAGACCCTCAGCTTCCTTTTCCGGAAAAGGAGAATAACACTCCTGAGCTCACGAATTCGGATGAACTAGGCACCTGAGCAAATATGGCTAATGTAAGTTCCCTCACTCTCCTGAGGAGGAATTCATATTCTAGGAGTGTTTTGGAGTCTTTGTTTTGGTTTTCTTTAAAATTTTATTTTTATTTTTTGGGGTATGCAAGGGAGTCTCGTGGGTAAGGAAGTGGTTGAAAACACCGAAGGGAGAGTTGTGTGATAGGGCGGGGTGGGATCGGCTCCGAGGAACTGGCTTTGGTAGTGGGAATGGAGAAGAGGAATCCCCATCCGCCCCCGCAGGAAACGCTCCAGTGATTGGAGGTGTGTGTGCTTGTGTGTGCCGGTGTGTGAGGAGGGGGTTAGCTCTGACTCCCGCAGACATCACCACGCATGACGAAGCTACTTCCCCTCACGCGGTCCAAGGCGCACACGCGCGATCCACGGCCACGCCTGCACACACTCGACACACACAGGGTAACCGAGGGTCCGGTTGCCATGGCGAGCAGGAGCGCGAGAGCCCTGCCGCCCCGCCCGCCCCCGGCCGAGCCCGGTCAACTCCATCTCTGATTGGCCGCTGCTTCCTCATTATGCAAATCATTTGCGTAGACCCGGCGGCCAGCTGCCTTACGTCATCAAACACGGGGGCTGGGGCTCGGGGCTCAGTTCCGGGAGAGCTCGGGCGGGAGCCCAGAGAGCGAGGCGCGGGGACCTGAAGCTAGACCCCAGCATCCCGCCGCTTCGGCCCGGGCCTGCCCCGCCCCCTGCCCCGCCCTTTTCCAGCCCGCCCCACCCTTTCTACGCCCCTCCATCCGGACGCCGCCCCCGGTGCAGCCCCCCGCCCTCGCTGCCCGTGTCCCGCCCCCTCCCCCCCTGGCCCTCGCCACCGGTCCAGGGAGGGGACGGCGGGACAGGCGGGACCGGCGGGACCGGCGGGAGGGCGGACCGGGCGGGGATATGGCCGCGGCGCCCGGAGGGTCTGCGCCGCCCGCCGGCCCCGGCCCGCGCCTGGGTTTCAGCACCGCGGACAGCGGCGTCGGTATGAGCGGGCTAAACCCGGGTCCTGCCGTGCCCATGAAGGACCACGACGCCATCAAGCTCTTCGTGGGGCAGATCCCGAGGGGCTTGGACGAGCAGGACCTCAAGCCGCTGTTCGAGGAGTTCGGCCGCATCTACGAGCTGACGGTGCTGAAGGACCGGCTCACCGGCCTCCACAAAGGTGCGCGGGGTCAGCCCAGCCCAGCCCAGCCCAGCCCTGCCCAGCCCTGCCCAGCCCCATTCCGATTAGAGTGCGGCCCAGCCCAAATCCCAGCCTCAACCCCAGCCCCAACCCTAGCCCTATCTAGAGCCAGTCCAACACCAGTCTAATACCAGCCCACTTCAGCCCAGTCTTCTTCCCAGATCACAGAACCCCCAACCCAGAATTTTCTCTCTGACATCCTCCCTCTGATCATCACTCTGGTCCCGACATGTACTCCACTCTAACCTCCAACTCCCTTCCCTTCACGTCTCACATCGCAACACTCCTCGCCTTTCAGCTGGACTTCCCTCTATCTCTCCCATCAGACATCTCAAATCCTGGAATTTGGAAACTTATTCCACCTTCTAGGTCTCTGACACCTTCAATCTCCCAAACCCTGGACCCAATCATTCCTGAACCACCATCCCTCCACCCCCATCTGGGGCCACCCCACTCAGGCCTAACCACCTTCACACACATTTTGGGCTTGCACCCCTCATTCTGGCATCTAAGACCAGTCAACCCCCAGAACCTTCTTTTGATTCACACTGCCAACCTAAAATCTCACAGACACAAACTCTCTGCTTCTTCAGAACCCATGCCTGTCTAAGTCACAAAATCCAATTCCCCTCCCAGGAGGCTCTCAGCACCAAATTCCGCCTTCATGCTTAACAATAGCCCCAATCTCTCCTACTCCCATCCAGAATCCCACCACTGTCTTCCTTTTCTGATTTGAGTCCAGAACTCTGATCTCAGCTGGGAACTCCAGCCACCTTGTGCCCCTTCATCTCAGGCTTCTTCTCAGCTGAACCTACACTTCTTTTACCCTCTAATCTTCCCACTCCTGTGACACATATTTGTCCCTTCCCAATCCTCTTTATGGCCTCCTGCTTTCCCTCCCTTACAGGGTGGTCCTGGACCAGAGCCTGTGGACCAGAGCCTCAGGGTGGGTCAGGTTGAAGAGGTAGAAAGGGGTCTTCTCCCTGCCCTTGCTAGAGAGAGACGCACCAGGTCCTATCCAGCCACACCCCTTTCCTCCTGTAGGAATAGGGAGGAGGCTTGTTTACATGCAGAAAAGTCTGTCCAGGCTGGGCTGGAGTAAGAGAGCCAGAGACACATTCATACATGGGCAGGGGAAGGAAATTATTTGAGAAGAAACACCTTTTTCTCTCCCCACCTTCACCATGCTGCAGTTTCAGGTTTGGGGAGTGGGGGAGGGTCCCCAACTATCCTCCGTGATCTTTCCAGGAGAGAAGTGGTGGGTCCTGGGTAACAGTTAAATGTACTTTCCTAAGGGCTAAGAGCTGGAAACAGGCTGCCACCTTTTCAACTCAGAGGCTTTGGAGAGTTCCTAGGCACACTAACATAGAGACTCCAGGAAAATGCCCATAGAAGATTTGGGAGCAGCTATGAAGCAGTGCATCTTCCACCCTCCTGGGTGGGGTCATTTTTAGAGGGGCATGAAATGACAAGACCATACCATCCAGATTCCTTCTAACACAGTCCAGCTGCCCAGCTGTACATCCATCCATAGCAATTTATTTTCTTATTTTCTAGACATTTATTTCAGTATGAAAGTACAAGCTAATCTTTCTGAGCCATCTGTACAGTAAGGGAAGTGTATAGAATACCTTTAATTCTCACTCAAACACCATCGGAGTCTCTGAACTGTTCCCTCATCCTTTCTCTCTTTCTCTCTACACTTAGTTCTAATTCTTCCTGTTTTTTTTCATTCATCTGTCCTTCAAGCCATGCTTCTCTGTCTTTTTATCCCTCATTCTTCCACTCCCTTTCCCAGGTAGTCACACAGGGCTCCTTTAGGCAGCAACTAGGCCCTCGAGCCTTTCTGAGAGGCCCCCAGCCCTGCCCAGTTCTGACATCAGCTAATATGGCTTGGTGGCAGTAGATGGAACAGAGATGTAAGTGGAATCAGGTGTTTGGTGATTTATCCCCAAACCAACCCACAGCTCTTGAAGGCAGGGTTGCCTTGCAAGATCACTGAGGAGGGTCTCCAAGTCAACATATTCTCCACCTTCTCCCCAGCAACAGTGATGTCCAAAAGCCAGAGTGACTCGTTTTCTTTTTGATGGCTGAGTACCACGGGGGGCAGCCACAGTGCTTTTAAAACAAGCTCAGCCTAGGAGTTTGGAGATTCCAAACCCTATCCTGCCACTTGTATACTCTCTGGGCTTCAGTTTCCCTATTGATATGATAAGAGTTTGTCCCAGGAGTTCTCTAAGGTCACTTTAACCCAATGAATGGCAGATATCCGCCCACCTTAAGAGGGCAACCACATAGGAGACATTGGAGAAAATGTTCCCATTTGCCTTTGAAGTCTGCTGAAGTCTAAGTGGAAAACTGCACCACACTCCTAATGGCTTCCCACATCCACTTTCTCTTCCTTCAGTCTTTCTCCTTCCTACACTCAGAAGGCTGTTTTTGAAAACACAGACCTAATGTCACAACCCTTTAGTGGCTCTCCACTGTTCTTAGGAAAAAGTTCAAAATCCAGACTGAGGTTATAGATGAGCTGATCCCTGCACACCCCACTGGCCACTCTGCCCCTAAGTTACCAATCTCCAACCATACTAGCCTTCCATCCATTTCCCCAACACACTGAATTCTTCACTCAGTCATCATATGTACTATTCTCTCTGCTTGAAATAATCGCCACACTTTTTGTTACCTCATTAACACCCGTTTGTTATTGAGAATTCAGTGTGTTCTTTGAGACATTCCTCAACCTTGTGGAGTTAGATACATCCCCCTCATGATCCTTTACATGATCCCCCTTAAGGCAGGAAATGTATCTGTCTTGTTGCCATTTTACCTTCAAGCCCTCAAAATGTCCCACCATAATAAGTATTCAATAAATCTTTTCTGAATGAGTGAGTGCTCAATGACTTTTGGAAAGGAAGAAGTCTTGGCCCTGTGCTTCTTAGCAGGCTACAGGTTCTGAGGCTGGACAAAAAGAGGGTAGGACTGATCCTTTGGCTCAACCCCGACTCCTTCTCTCCCCTGTATCTACTGGTTCTTTTAGAGAAGTCAAATTTGGGGCACAATAACTATTTAAGAGGCCCTATCTTGAAGTCCTGGGAGAGCTGACAGATCAAGTTCCTTGGATAGGATTGGAAGTCCCTAGAAGCTCCTACCCATAGGACACCCTTAAACCAGTCCCATCTTCCAAGCCTCAAAATTATCCCTTCCTCAGACTCAAACTAGGAGGAGGTGTTAGCAAGGAGTTCTGGGGTCCTGGGGTCCCAACCTTTCTCCTCCTCTTCTGTCTCCTCCCATCTGAAACTGAGTTGGGAAGGAATTGAGGCTGATTCTGAGAGACTTTGGGAGTATGAATCCAAAAAGGAAAGGGGAGGCTGGGGTTAAAGCTGAAGGCAAAGCTGCTTAGGGAGGTCTAACCCTAACAGGATTTACGGCTGGAGTGGGGAGGGGAGATGTGGGATTGTATTAGCATGTGACTGGGTGTGGGTACACATGTTCCGTAGGCAAGAGGCCACGAGCAATTGAGAAGGAGCCAGAGCCTGGGACACAGGCACACGAAGCCCCTCCCTTCAGAGAAGGTGGGAGGCAGAGAAGCCTTCTCAGAAGTAGTGTCCTTGTTTAAAGGAGAGTGGCTTTGAGTTTGTCAACTTAATGGGGTCTTTCCAGGAAGAGTATCTGGGGGTTTCAGGAAACCCCCTGAGCCAGCCTCTTCCTCCCCAGGCTGTGCCTTCCTCACCTACTGCGCCCGGGACTCTGCTCTCAAGGCCCAGAGTGCACTGCACGAGCAGAAGACCCTGCCAGGGGTAAGTCCACCAGGGTTGGTGGGTGGGGGGAATCACCTCAGGCTGGGGACATAGGCCCTATGTGCATGCCAAAGCAGCATATAGGGGCTGGGCTGGGACCAGGAACTAGAAGAAGAGTCATCTTTCCAGGAGAGGACTTACCTGTACCCTTAACAGCTACAGGTTATGTGTTATGTTCAGTCTTCTGGTCCAAAGAAACGGGCTCAAGACTCTTGGGCTAAGTGTACCATGCCCATAATTAGGGAAGGCATTACTGTTGTGAGCTATGCTAGAGTTTGTCCATGTTGGCTAAGATCATGATTTTTAGGTGTCATTTGTCACTGGTGTGAGCATATATGCAGATACATGGAGGAGAGGCTCTGCTGGTCTGGAATCCCACTTCCTCCAGTTCTAGGGTCCTTGATGGCACTTCCCTCTGGTCCTCTTCCTGTAGTGTTTTTTGGGGTGTCTTGACTCACCAAGATTGCTTTCCCTCCACACCCCAAACACGTAGCTAAAGTTAAGAGAGATCTGATTCCACAGGCAGCTAGGCTACTGTGTATCAGTGGCACTTGATATGGCCTTGGCTAATGGCTAATCACTGGACAAAAGGCAAAGTGGGACCTACTGTGGAAGGAAGAAAGTGGTGATTGTTAGGAACTAGTGTGGGTTCACCAAGAGCAAGTCATACTACACAGCCTCATTCTTTCTTGTCCAAGGAGTGATATGTCTAGAACAAGAATGCTATTCAAATGTCCCAGGCAGGCCAAACATGGGACACATATCCACTTCCAGGCGTCAGATTTAAGAGGGTCATTAGCCTACCATAAAGATACTAGGATGGGATGGGAACATAAAATATATCATGGAATGATAATTTGAAGAATTGGGGATATTTAGCTGGAGAAAATAGGGTTTAGTGGGGGCTGCAATAGGGAGGCATCATAACATAATAATTAAGAATACTAGTTTTTTGAGACTCACAGACTGGATTTGAATCCCAGCTCTGCCATTTACCACTTCTGTGTCTTCAGATACATTACTAGAAAATTTCCTCATCTATAAGGAGTAGGTTATACTAACACTTAGCTCTCTGGGCTATTGTGAGGATTCACTGAGGCTTAGCAAGTGCCTGGCACAGAGTAAGATCTTGATACATATTACTGTTGGGGCGGGTAACCGCTTTCACATCCTGAAGAGGGATTTGGTTTCCTATGGGTGGCCTCACAGAGCAGTGGGGTATAAAGAGCAGATGCGCTAATTTCAGCTCCGTGTAAAGAAGTCATTTCTCTGCATTGGAGCTCTCCAGCAATAACGCAGGCTTTACTTAGAGCCGATCAGGCTGTTATCGGGGTGTCAGATCCTAGAACCAATCCTTGTAATTGAAGGAACTTGAGCCTCGCTCTTGAAGACTCAGTGTCAAGTTAACACTAACTTATCACCCTCGCCAATCCTCTGTATGCAGGCTCTGGAGTCAGACAGACCTGGGTGTCGATCCAGGCCCCACCACTCACTGACTCTATGACCTTGAGCAAGTCTTTACCTCTCTAAGCCTAAGCTTCCTCATCTGTGAAATTGAACTTGTAGGGTTGTTATCATAATTAAATGAACTAAGTCATGTAAAGTGCTTAACACAGATCTTGGCAGACAATCAGTACTCAATACAGGTTAGCTGGTGGTAGTAGTAGTAGTAGTAGTAGTAACAGCAGCATTACTAGGAGTAATAGTAGAAGTCATTACTCATCCAACCTTGGGAGTAAATGACTTCTGTCACTAGAATTGAGTCAATGATACGAACAGTAACACTCCACGTGGGAAACATCATGGTAGAGGTGCAGAGACAAGAGGAACAGATGGGTGTGAAATGAGGCTGGGAGTGTAGAGGAGGGGGCCCTCATGTGAGCAGGGGCCAGACTAGAAAGAAGATCCACAGAGGGCAGTGGCTGAAGAGGAAACTTTGAACTCCAGGCTGAGGGGTTTGGACTTTATCCTGAAAGCAAATGAAAGGCACTGAAAAAATTAATATGAACTTTGGGAGAACAAATCCCCACCTTAGGGACTTCCCTGGTGGTCCAGTGGTAAAGAATCCGTCTTGCAATGCAGGGGATGCCAGTTCAATCCCTGGTCGGGGAACTAAGATCCCACATGCCGCGGGGCAACTAAGCTGCACGCCACAGCTAGAGAGAAGCCCGTGCACCAGAACAAAGAGCCTGTGCACTGCAACGAAAGATCCCGTGTGCCGCCAACTAAGACCTGATGCAGCCAATAAATGTTAAAAAAAAAAAAAAAAATCCCCTCCTCAACCAGCCACAGGGCTCCACAAGAGATGGGGTACCTGGGGTACTCTATGAGGCTGAGGGCACCTGAGATAAGGACAGTGAAGCCCTATACTACTGGGACAATTTCTGGGAGAAAAAAGAGAAATAATAATAACTAACATATATTGATACCAGACAGTGTTCCTAGCACTTTACAGGTTCAAATTCATTTAATCCTCTATGAAGAAGGTATTGTTATTGGCATTCCCATTTTACAGGTGAGGAAACTGAGTCATAGAAAACAAGTGACTTGCCCAAGGTCATGTAGCTACTAATGGGAAGATGTGGGCTTTGAATGCAAGTAGTCTGGCTCCAGAACTCATTCACTTAACCACTGCACTGTTACCTGAGCCAAGCTGGTGGCAGATAGGGGTCTAAAGTTCTGGAGGGGATGGTGACTGGGTACATCTGCCCCCTCTCACCCTTTCATCTACAGGCTTCCAACATGGCCTGACTTCCTCTTGTACTGCCAGGATTGGCTTATTCACCCTCCTCAGCTTAACAAAGTGAAAATTAATATTTAATTATTCTCCTAAATGAAAATCGATGGCCCTGTTGGCCAGCCCCAGCAATGGCCGAGTCATCAATCTTTCCTCTGGGCCTGCCAGGGGCAGCAGTAGCTTTAGTCACCTGGCCTCAGGCCCACCAGCATGGAGAGGTGGGTGCCCAGCTCTCTGTAGGCACTGGGTCCTGGGCACACCTGCCATCTGCTGGAGAAGCAGGGACAACACTTCAATCTGGACTCTGACTGGAGGCAGGCAGGACTGTCGCTGTGGGACTAGGAAAGGCTGTGTCAAACCTAAAGAGAAAGCCTGAACCGCTAGGAGAAATTTCATGTTATCTGCTGGACTGGGACCTCCCCTCGGCCCCCCTCCACGAGCTCCCTGCTAATTTCTGTCACCTATCAAAGCTTGACTCCCAACTCAGGACTTCCTTCAAACCTCAGTGGTCTGTCCCATCTTCTACAGCTTCTTCCCCATGAAGCTAGAGTTACTTCTTTCAGCCTCACTTTAGGCTCCAGAATCCACCTGAAGAAAGTGAGGCCCAACCTCAGCCCCACCTTCTGGGATTCAGAAGGTTCCCTCCTGCCCCCGCACTTGTCTCCCTCCATGTTCATGTTCTCCTTTCCCCTGGGCATCCATCCCTTCAAACACCATGAAGGAGACAGACATAACTGAGTACATTTGCTTTTGCAGGTTGTGCCCTGCACAAAACAGCTTGAGTGGAAAAGGCAAACAGGGCCTGAAATCCAGCCATGCTCTATTGACCAAGCCATGCACATTATCACAGGACTGTGTAAGCCCAGAGGAAGGGTCACATTTTTCCTAATTTGCCCACAGGGTTGCCTCTTTGTAACTCACACAAAGGCACTGTATGTGCTAGCAGCTGCCCAGTGCATGAGCTGGCGCCTTTGCCCTCAAGGAGCTTCCAGCCCAGAAATAACTTGTTGCACCTCAGTGGGGTTTAACCTCTGGGCACGTAGAAGAAGCATCAGAGGTGGAGAAGGAGGAGATGCTTCACAGGCGAGACGCTGTCTGAGCTGAATCATGATCATACTTCATCATGTTTGAAGGCCTAGAAACCTAAAAGACAAAAGTGTCTTCTGGAATTCTGGGGACAGTCAGGGAAAGTGCCCAGCAAAGATGTCTAAGGCTCCAAGTGAATGGAGAGTATCATGCATGTTGGGCAGCACGGGAGGCAGGACTAACAGGTTTTGGCTCCCAGTCTTAGGATCTCGGGTTTTACTGGGCAGCTTGCAATGGGGAACTGTGGGTGGATTTTGAGCAGGGAAGAGTGAGGGACTGGTACTGAAAGATCACTTTGGCTACAGCGTGAATGCTGGGGTGGAGAGGATGCAATGCTGGAGGCAGATGACCCTCTGGAAACACTTGCTGAGGGCATGTGAGTGATGATACTGGCCTAGAGCTGGGGTTAGGGTAGGAACGGAGAGGAGAGGATGGACTTGAGAACTATTTAGGAAATCCATATAGATTCTAGAACGAATGGGACTTGGCAGTGGGTTGAATTAGAGGAAGGGGGTGAGGTAGAACAAAGTACTGAAAATGGTGGTTTCCTTTTTATCTGCTCCACTCTTTCTTGCACCCATGACACCTCTCTTAGACCCATCAGTAGTCCCTTCTTTGGGGAGGTTCCAATAAGCATTCTTCCCATGGTGAGGGGAAGGGGCTGAGGGCATGAGTGCTGAGTGGAGGGAAGAGCTGTGATCAGGACAGAAGAGTGTGAAGAGGGCAATGTGGACCCCAAAGGCAGGAATTTTTGGCAAGTCAAGCAGAGAGAAAGGGTAAGATCTTGCCTTCCCTGCTGCTTACAGGGGCAGAAGGCCTAGGACCCCGTACGTGTCTGTCCTGCCCCTGACCTTCTCCACTCCACTGCTTGGAGTAGGTTGTCCTCTCCTCTTTCTGACATACTCTCCCTTGATTTCCCCTCCAGGGCTGGGCCCTGAAGCAGAAATGTGCCTGGACTTGGGAAAGTCTCAGGGGAATAGGTGCTCAGCCAAGGGCAACAGCTCCCGTGAGGTCCCATGACAAGTTCTTGGCCAAGGAAGCAATGCCCTCTTTTCTTCAAAGGGGAACAGTGATTACTTGACCCCGCTTCCACATCCCTCCCCTGGCTATGGCAGGAACGAGGCAGGGTAGGGTTGCCCAGGTAGCTCATGTGGGCAGCTCTCTTTCTCCTTTAGCCACACAGAACATACCTAAAAACCGGGTGTCCTCCCTAACCACTTCCCAGTGGAGACTGAAGGCCCAGAGCCTGGGGACCATTACTCTTCTCAACTCTGTCATCACCATCTTGGGCTCCTCCCCTGAGGACTTCCCCTGCACCTCCTAACTCCCAAATTACCAACTTCCCCAACACCTAAACCATAAGCTTGAGAGTCAGCCAAAATTCCCTCCTCTCCCTCAGTCCCCACATCCAATAGAACTTTAGTCCAGTTCATTCTTCCTGAACATCCCCTGAATCTGTCCATTTCCTTCTGCCCTAGTCCAGGTCACCCTCACCCTCACTTGTATCACTGATCCTCCTGCCTCTAATCTTTCCCTTTCCAATCCCTTCTCTGCATAATGACAGCTCATGGGATCCTTCATAAGACAGATCCCTCCCCCACTTAATATCCTTCCCTGGATCCCTATTGCCTTTGAAATACAACAAAGTCAAAGTTCCTTGTCATGGTTTTCACAACCTGCCCTGATCTGGCCCCTGCCTACCCTTCAATTCCATATCCTTCCATTTAAAACCCACACAAACAAAAACAAACAAACGAAAAATTTATTACATCTGGTGCACCTACTAAGATCTTGCCTTTGTCATTTTCACCACACCCCTTCAAGGTGGGATCCTGAGTGCCCTTTTACTAGTGTGGATACTGAGGCTCAGAGACCTTAAGGAAGTTGTCAGTGATGGAGCCAGGATTTAAACCCACGTCTATCGGACTTGGCAGCAATCTGTACTACCCTAGCTCCCTCGGTGTCAGGTGCCCACCAGAAAACCCTTGCTCCTTCAGACTTGCATCTCCCTCTCCGTACCCCAGACACCTGGAGTGTTCAGCCTCCAGCCCCACCTCTCCCACGATCTCCACATGGCCCAAATGACCCCAGTGCTGCAAGACCCAGCTCAAACCCTGCCTCCCCCATGAAACTTTCCCTGAGCCAGCCTCTCCAGCTGGAGTCAGCCTCTCCCACAGCACTTTACCTTGCACGCCTCCCAAGGTCCTGGTCCCTCTGTGCCTCGTTATTTGTGTTCATGTCTTAAGAATGGAGCTGAGTGACACAATGCAAAAATCATGGACTTCAGTGTCAGGCAGACCTGGAGGCAAATCCCAGCTCAACCACTTACCCACCGTGTGATCTTGGACAAGTGATTTAACCCCCCTCAGCCTCAGCTTTCTCATCTATACTATGGGAACAATGGCACTATCTTGCAGAGTGGTTGGAAGGAATTTAGAGACAATGTATGTAAAGTGCCCCAGGAAGGGCCTGGCACATAGTGGGCTCTCTGGAAATGGTGGCATTATCTTCCCCTCTTATACGCCTTTGAGGACAGGGTCCTAGGGTCATCGCTGTCTCCCCTGAAGGGCCCAGCCCAGGGCTCTTCACAGAGTTCTGGACATACTGGCAACATGCCCGAGTGGTGGAAAGTCTAGGTGCCCAGCCTCCGAGACCTGGACTCTGCCAGGTCCACGTGGGACATTTATGTACCACCTAATGCCCACTCTCCATCAAACAGTGGTGGAGAGGGGGAGGGGGAAAAGGGACATCCTCCAGAGCACCGATGAGCTCCACCTCCCCAGAAACCCAGCCGGGGAGGCAGCCGCCACGGAAACCACTGCTGTTACATGCGCTCGTCACTCTAGGCTCCAGTGAGAAATTCGTAGGATCTATTTAAGAACTAATAAAATAAGGATGGTCTTGCTCACCCTCACTGCCCCCCACCCCAGGCTTCTACCCTTCTGCCACACTCCTCCCTACCTTTCCTGCACCCCCCCTTCCTGACCCCTTATCCCCTCATTTCCTTCCCACCTCCCCCAGTATTTCTCTCTTTCCTTGCCCTGTGTAGGTCTGTCTTATTCTCTCATCATTTCTGTCTTCCTATGTCTCTTCATCTCTCCCTGTGTCTCTGCTCTCCATGGCTCTGTCTCTTTTTTTTTTTTTTTTTTTTTTTT